GGGGGAGAGGGGGGGAGGAGGCCCTGAACCTTGATCCTTGATACCTGGATCCCTGATCGCCTTCAGCTCAAACCCTCAAACCTCAATCCCCAGGCACGCGGTGCGATGGAGGCTGGTGGAGGATGACGGGTGACCCGCTGAGCTCTGAGTCCTCTGCCCTCTGAGTTTCATCCCCTCCCCTCTCCCCTCCCCTCCCCTCTCTCTCCCTCTCCCCTCTCCTTCCCTCTCCCCGCCCCTCTCCCTCCCTGAGTTTCACCCCCTCCCTCTGAGTTTCATCCCCTCCCCTCTCCCCTCTGAGCTCATCTAATCCTCCTGAAACTAATTAGTAATTCAGAATTTGTATTTGATGTGCAGTGGCAAGGACTCTTGCCTGGCGCCTGGCGGATCTTGGATGCCGATACATCATCGCTATCGCCGTCGCCGTCGCCACCGTCGCCACCGTCGCCGTCGTCGCCGTCGTCGCCGCCTTCGTCGTCGCCGTCGCCGTCGCCTTCGTCGTCGCCGCCTTCGTCGTCGTCTTCACTACTACTGACTACTGCCACGACTACTGCCGCCGCCGCCGCGTAGTCGCGTAGTCGTCGTCGTCGTTGTCGCCGTCGCCGTCGCCGTCGCCGTCGTCGCCGCCTTCGTCGCCGCCGCCACCGTCGTCGTCGTCGTGGTGCGGGGGCGTTGCCCGAGGACGCATGGCCTTGTTTATGGGATGGCAGAGCACCCCTGCGACTTATTGCGGTTAGTTTCGAATATGGGACTCGCGCGCGTGAACTGTTTATATCATGAAGTGTTTTTCGGAGTGTTTTTTTATAGTTTCAGTCATGGAGTTTTCGGCATGCTTTAGTGCACGCTTTCGGCGTTTTAGTGTTCACCAACGCTGTTTAAGATGTCAATAGGCTTAAAAGACGAAAAGAACGCCCAAGTTTAAGCAGCCAGCGCGCGCGTGACAGCCGTTTCGGGCGACCACGCTCCTCTTTCCCGCGTCGGCGCCCTTGCCTTCTCCCCCCCCTCGTTCGCGGTTCGTGTCTCGCATGGTGGACCCCTTTTTTCCCTCAGTGTCAAGTCGGGCTTGTCCCTCTCCATCGTGAGGCCGTGTTGGCGTCTTGGAGCGATCGTTCGGCGGCTCGGGCCCCCTTGGACCCACGGGAGGCTCCGGGGAGGTCGCCTGAGGAGGGGGCACGACGCTCCGGGCCCGTAATGATTCGGCACAGCGTTCCGGCCTAGCGTTCCTGCTGCTGCTGCAGCAGCAGCAGCAACACGGCGTCTGTACCTCGCAGTGTTGCATGATGCTAAGGGGCACTCCACTCCGCGCCAAATGCACGGTGGCGGATGCAGAGAGAAGCGGGAGCGACTCTGCTGCGGAGAGTTTTTTCCGTTTTCCCCTGCAGCTCGTGCTCTCCCCAACCCACCCCTTCTTCATCGTCAAGCAGTGGCGAAGCGGGCGGGTCTGCTTGTAGGCAGGGGTGCCGCAGGACGCTCTTGGACCTCGCTGCGACGCCACCAAAAGAGCTCTTCTGCCCATGAGGCGACTCCCAAACCAGCAGGTGCCGTCGATCGGGCTTCAATCTCACCGCTCTTGTGTTCACGACGTGTTGACAAAAGGCGGCCATTCCGAGTGGAGATGCGAGGAGGCCCTCCGTGGCACGCTTCAAGGCTGTTGGCCTCCGCCGTGGCAGCTCGGGGTGCCGCGAACTGCGAACTTAGCCTGCCGAGCCCATGGCCGCGTCTGGCGCCACCCGCAATACCCCCCTCCAGTCTTTGCCTCGTTCCTCATCTCATGCGCTTCCATCTTCCTCCACCTGGTCATGCCCACACCTTGGCATCGCTCGGACGTGTGCATTTTTCCTTCGGCGAGGACCCTTGAGGAGCATCTTTGATCATTTGGCGAAAAAGCCGCGCACGAAACGGAACAAAAACACAGGGAATGGACGTCCGAGCGATGGCGAGGATTAGTAATACCCCCCTCCACTCTTTGCCTTGTTTCTCATCTCATGCGCCTCCGTCTTCCTCCACCTGGCCACGCCCACACTTTTTTGTTGGTCTTCGGGTCGAGAGCGGGCCTCCTCCGGTTAAAAGCTAGGCGGGCCGCGCAGAGCACGAATTGGGGAGACGGGGCGCGGGCGGGCGGGGCCTCAGGCGGGCGGAGGGCGCGGGCCATGCCCACACTGCTCACACCGCTCCTTCCCACCCCCCCCGGGGAGGAGGAGGGAGGAGGAGGAGGAGGAGGAGGAGGAGGAGGAGGAGGAGGAGGAGGAGGAGGAGGAGGAGGAGGAGGAGGAGGAGGAGGAGGAGGAGGGAGGAGGAGGAGTGAGGAGGAGGAGGAGGAGGAGGAGGAGGAGGAGGAGGAGAGGAGGAGGAGGAGGAGGAGGAGAGGAGGAGGAGGAGGAGGAGGAGGAGGAGGAGGAGGAGGAGGAGGAGGAGGAGGAGGAGGAGGAGGAGGAGGAGGAGGAGGAGGAGGAGAGGAGGAGGAGGAGGAGGAGGAGGAGGAGGAGGAGGAGGAGGAGGAGGGGAGGAGGAGGAGGAGGAGGAGGAGGAGGAGGAGGGAGGAGGAGGGAGGAGGGAGGAGAGGGAGGGAGGGAGGGAGGGAGGGAGGGAGGAGGGAGGGGGAGGGAGGAGGGAGGGAGGGAGATGGGAGGGAGGAGGAGGAGGAGGTGTTCACACCGCTCCCTCCTACCCCCCCGGTTCACCCTTCCCGTCTCCCTCCGTCCTCGCCCATCCTGCTGGTGGCCTCGCCGTCCGGCTCGCCGGGGGGGGGGGGGGGAGCGGCCTGCCGCCGCCACGGGCCTCCCTAGGGGGGGGGGGGCGCCCCCCCTTCGCGGAAGGCCTGGCAGTCCTCCCCCCGCGGAGGGGACGGGGCGGAGCGTGGCGCTCGGGCTAGGTCGGGCTTGTCCCTCCACAGGAGGAGTAGTCGAAGATGGTTCAAGGAGATAGTCGGGTGATTGTTGGTTCGACTGGTGTTGCTGATGTTTGGAACATTTTGGTGGTGTGCTTTTGGGCTTCGTCCAGGATCCGCCTGTAGGAGGACACGCCCGACGTGACGCTCGGCAGGGGGGTGTCTGCCGAGACGCGACGGGATGAGAGGGACGGGTTGAGATCGGACGGGACAGGAGCGGAGGGTCGGCGTCACCCCAGCATATTTGTACTATATGGGCGTCGCCCCCCCCCCCCCCCCCTCCCGGGGGCGGCGCGCGCACCGAGAACTATTATAGCATATATGCGCCGTGGCGGGCGCTTTCTGGCCACACCGCTCGGGAAACGATCTACTGCAATATGGGCATGCCGTATGTTCGGGTCGGACGCGCGCATCCAAGGAGGACAGATAGTATTCGTATCAAGCGGCGAGCGAGAGGGGGAAGTGAGAAGGAGAAGGCCTTCTCAGAAGGCGGCCAGACTTCTCAGAAACCCTCGCACCTTCCGAGACGTTTTTTGTTGTGTGTGTCCCCGTGGAAGGCTCAGACGACTTCTCAGAAGGCCGAGGGACTCCCGAGCCTCCCTCAGAACGCCTCCCAACCTTCACTCGCCGCGCAAGTATGTCTCTGTGCGTCCCCTCGGACGGGACAGGAGCGGAGGGGGGGGCACCAGGGCAGAGTGTAGCAGCGCTAGTTGCGTGGACTCAGCTGAGCGACGCAGATACACAGGGGGCATCTGCTCCAACATTGGCGCGCAAGCTGGCCGCGTAAGGTCGCGCGTGAGCGCCCTCGTCTCCAATGTTTCTTTCATCGCGGGCGGCCCGCGTAAGCCGCCGCGTAGGGCCCCTACGTCATCTCGCGTAAGTCAAGCAGTGGCGAAGCGTCCTGGCTCGCCTATAGGCCTACTGAAGAATTGCCTAAGAAAATGTTGTAGTTTACACGAGATGGTTTTGGAGCATGCCTGGCTGGAACTGCCTCATTTTAACACCTCGGTCTTCTGTTCTGAGAACACTGCTTTGGTTCTTGGAGCATCCCTGTGTGCTCAGAACATGCCGTGGTGAGTCTACAGGAATGCCAGGACGGCCGGCCCCTGCGCAAGTAAGGCCCACCCGTTTCTTTTCGACTACACGTAAGAGTGACCTTTCGCCGGAGTGACCTTTGGTGCGGGCCCAGTGGGGTCCCCCGATCGCCGAACGCGATGCGGTAGTAGCGTCTTGCACACTTGTGTGTTGGTTCCGCCGCGGCCCCCCAAAAGCCGCGCATCAAAGGTCACTCTTACCGAGGGTCACTCTTGCATGTAGTCGATCTTTGCTCGTCGCTCCGCCGTCGCCTCCGAAGCGCTGCCGACTCGCCGCGGCGAGCCGCGCGCGCGGAGCGCGCGCGCGCGGCGCCTCCGGCGGCACGTCCAGGCCGGCAGCGCTTTGTTGCGCCTTCCGCCCACTGCGCGGCCCTCGCGGGGGGCGACGGCCTCACTCCAGGCTGCAAGTCGGGCGTGCCATCTGCAGGAGGAATGGGCAAAGACTACACCAGAGCAGAGCACCAATCAGTGGATGGCTTGACGTGATATCGATCAAGAGATCGAGAAGGAGGTCGACCGGGAACCCGGGAACCCGGAACCCACTGAGATCGGCCCAGAATCACTAATAGAGAACAAAAAGTGACATAAACATAAAAACTCGGAGGTCCGCGCAGATTTCTCGGATCGGCGCTGGGACCCCCCGGCGGCGCCTCCGGCGCCGCCCCTTTCGCGCTCCGCGCGCCAGGGAGGGGGGTCCAGCGCCGATCCAAGAAATCCGCGCGGACTCCCGAGTTTTTATGTTTATGTCACTTTTTGTTCCCCGAACTAACCAGGAACCCGGGAACACGGAACCGGGAACCCAGGAACCCAGCCGGCTGCCAAAGTCGGCGGGAGATTGTCGCCAAGGCCTTTCGATATCCGCTAGGACCCCTTCACTGCAAGCACTGGTTGGGGAATAAGCAACACATAGTCTGGGGACGATGTGTCGATCATGTTTGGGCTATTCTTGCACATTCTCCGACCGTGTTTTCTTTACGCTTGTTCGAAGATCTGCCTGTAGAAGGACATGCCCGACCTGGCTCCAGGTGTGGACTGGGCCCTCTGCAACGCCCACTTCGAGCCGCCGAGCCTTGCGGATGCCGTTGTGGAGCTGAACGGGGTGCAACTACCGGACACCTGCATCCGTTCCAAGGACTCGCGAATCGGGCAGGGGACAGGTTCAGTGGCGCTGTCACGCCTGATCGGGCGGCGAGCGGGGGTGCGGACGGGGATGAGCCGCGGAGAGCTCGACACACTGGAAGGCGCAAGGTTAGGCGCAGGCTTCATCATCTTGCGCATTCGCCTGTGCAAATGCGTCTGCGGCGGTTTTGCCACAGGCGTGACCCCAGAGTGAGCCCAGCGCGGCTCCCTTCAGCAGTGTTCTGGCAGATACGACACAAGATCCAGACAATCTAGGTACGAGATTGCGAAAACCGAAGCTTAACACAGACCAATACAAGCTGATAACAGAAGAAGCACGTTGCTACATGCTACGACGTTGCTTCGCAGTGCGTTGTGCTGCGTTGCAGCGCAGCGTGGCACGGTGCGCTGCACTGCGCTGGGTTTGCTTCGGTTGCTCTGTGTTGACTTCTGGTGCCACTGGTAGGTGTTTCATCTGACCTGCTCTGCATGAAGTTGTTCTGATGTACCCTTTGCATTATTCTGGTCTGCCCCGCTGATCTGCAACGCGTTGCATCGCTCTGCAGCGCGCTTCACTGCCTTGCGTTGCGTTCGCCGGGGGGGGGGGATGCATCGAGAAACGGGGGGAGGGCCCGACCTCCTGCAAAATATGTTAGGGCCCGTGGGGCGAACTCTGACGGGAGAAGTGACCTTGTCGTCCTCGTCGATGGGTATGGCTGCTTATGACCTTCGCAGAAGGCAGCTGGGCGGGGGCGGGATGGGGACCAGTCTCTCTACAACCCTCCTCGAAATCAAGCGCAAGTTGTTACTGTTGGTCGGCGCACGAAACGCGGCCCACTGGATGAGGTTTCTGTGCTCGCAGTCGCCCATGTCGGCGCGATCCTTGACATGTTGGGGTTCTGGGGCGCCGCCACGTCGGTCACGGGAAGAACTTGCGTTTGATTTCGAGGGGGGATGTAGTATTGGCCCCCGATCAGGCTCGTCGGCCTCCTTCCTCTCCTGGCCACAGGGTGCGACCACGTGAGGGGTGCGCCGCAATGGGGAAGGGCAGACAGATGAGGAGGAGGAGGAGGAGGAGGTGGCAGACGGGAGGGAGGGGCGAGGAAGGAGGAGGCGGGGATGAGACTCACATCGCAGGACAGGGGACACGATGACACAAGCGGGGGCCCGGGGAAACATGAAACAGTGAGATATCCACCTCGGTTCCGCGGGTGGACCGGGGGCTCGAGGTGCTGAACCAGATGATGGCGGACGAGGCGGGGGAGAAGGAAGGAGAGGATGACAAGGATGATGATGGGAGAGGAGTGCGGTCGGCCTGATGTATAAGATCGAGGTCGGTTCAGGGAGGATACCCTAATGTTTTTCGCGCTTGTTGGGTATTATTGTGCATCCTGGGGGGAGAGAGCCCCTGGATGTTCCGTATGTTTTGGCCGGCGGGGGGTCTCATGTTCTTGAAGGATGCTCCCCTGTCCTGGGTCCGACTGTATCGGGGTCTTGGGGCCGACACTGAGGGGCGGCGATTTACTGCTCTTGGCCTCGCGGCACGTAGGACGAGCACCATGATGAGGTTCGAAATGTGGCTGCCAGCTGTTCCTCGCCCAGGGTGGAGGGCATCTGGCAGTCACCATGCGGCGGCGAGAGAGGGGCGGAAGTGAGAAGGAGAAGGGCCTTCTCAGAAGGCCGCGGCACGTGTCAGAAGCCCTCGCGCCTCCCGAGAGGTTTCTCGTGTCTTCCGGGAAGGCTTAGAAAACTTGTCAGAATGCCGTGGGATTTCTGAGTTTTCTGAGAAGGCCCGCTCCTTCTCACGTTCCCCCTGGGTTGGTCGCCGAACTCTCTGGCCCCCAGTGCGGGGGGGAGGGCACAGCGCTGCAGAGTGCAGCGCTGGCCTTCACCCCTCCTGGTCGGGGCTGCGGACCTGCTTTTAGATCTCTTCCCACCTTGCTCGTGGTGCCAGCGGCTCGCGCTGGAGCCAAGAATCAGAACCCCGAATCATCAGGGGTAACTCGGGTCAGGCTAACTCGGGTTCGCTTTTCGGGATTCCGAACCCGAGTTACCCCGGACCCGAGTTACCCCGGATAATCCGGGCGTCCAGAGCCCCAAACCATCAGGGGTAACTCGGGTCCGGGCTAACTCGGGTTCGTTTTTCGGGAATCCAAACCCGCGTTGCCCCGGACCCGAGTTACCCCGGATAATTCGGGCGCCCAAGAGAAGCCTGGCGGTCTGACCCAGCACCAGCGGAGCATGTGATACATCGTGGCAGTACACCCTAGACCATGCTTAAGAAAACTTAAGTCTTTGGCCAGAGCCTCGATTATTCTTCATGTTTCAATGTACATCCTAAGATTTCAATAAGAATTCTGGGTTCTTGTATTCAGATTCTGAGACTCCGAGTTCCTTAGCCCATGATCTCTTAAGCATTTCGCAGGGCGTAGGAGAGAGGACAACCCAGCCACAAAAGCAAGCCGATCCTGCCACAGGGCGGCGTCGGAGAGCGCAGCCGCCCCCAGTGCCTCACACCAGACCCTGTCCAGGGTTGCGTCGGGCCTGTCGCCCTACAGGGGGATGTTCGACGAAACATAAAAGATAGCCCAAAAAGAATCAAAAACATAGTCCAGAAACTGTCCAAAAATAGCATGGGGACCATTGTTTGAATACCTTCTGACCTGTTTGGGGCACGTTTGGGGTACTTTTTATTTCTCGTCGAACATCTCCCTGGAGGGGGACGCGCCCGACACACGCCCAGGGCAAGCACATCGTGTTCATCATCGGCGACTGGGGCGGCCTCTACGACCCGAAGCAGGGGCCCGTGCCGGCGGACCACCGGAAGGAGGGCGTGCACAAGCGGGACTTCGTCGACGGCCTGGACGACCGGGCGCAGCAGAGGGTCGCCGAGCAGATGATCAAGGGGGCCGAGAGGCTGCACCCGGACTACATCATCAACGTCGGGGACAACTTCTACTGGGGCGGGGTGGAGCAGCCGTGCTGTGCGACGCGCCTCGAGAACATGGACAACTTCTCGGCCCAGTGGGACGACGTCTTCGAGAGGATCTACACCGGCGGCGGCATCGACGGGCTGCAGTGGCTCGGCGTGCTGGGCAACCACGACTACGGCGGGTTCCTCTACGGCAACGCCTGGGACCAGGCCATCCTGTACACGTGGAAGGAGCGCGCGGGCGGCAAGCCAAGTCGTTGGGTCACCCCTGCCCTCTACTGGCGGAGCACGGTTCATTACGTGGACTTCTCGGTGGAATACTTCTTCCTCGATACCAACATCTACGACGCGTGGGAACCGTTCACGAAGATGAACTCGAACATCTGCAGCTTCGCCCACAACCCTCACAAGTTCGGGGAGACAGATTGCTCGGCTGAAGGTGGACCAGCTGGGACTAGAGACTGCAAGGCTTGGTTCGACCAGCTGTGGCTGGAGCAGCTGGAATGGCTCCACCTGCACTTGTCGAACTCTTCAGCCGACTGGCAGATCGTAGTCACGCACTTCCCACCAAACTACGACCCAGTCCTGTTCAGGAGTCTGTCCGATGACTACGGCATAGATGCTTTCCTGACTGGCCATCTGCACCGGCAGGAGGTCCACGGTGACGACGACACGAATTTCTTGGCCCCGACCGTCTGGGTCGTGTCCGGAGGCGGGGGGGGCATCACGTCTGACTACGCGCCCCACCTGGCCGGAGACTCGCAGTACGGCTACATGAGCATGACGCTGTCAAAGGACAAGATCGAGATCGTGAACATCGACCACGCGGGGAACGAGGGGGACAGGGCGGTCGCCTTTCCGCGGCACTGCAAGAACTGCTCCATGGAGCACGTGCAGCGCAACCGGCAGCTCTACGAGGACGGGATCGAGGCGCGGGGACGACTGGTCGACCGGACGGTGACAACGACAACCTTCGCGCAGGACGCTCGCCTTCCTCCGAATCCCTCTCTGCGCCGGGGGAGACCTGGATGCGGAGGAGATGGGATGACAGGAGCATCGACGTGGGCAGGATGGTGGGGAGGAGCAGGAAGAGAGGTGGCTGATCGGGGGGATGGAAGGGGGGGAGGGGAGGAGGGTGCAGCATGGCGAGGATGGTGAGGATTTGGGCGAGAGAGAGAGAGAGAGAGAGAAAAAAAAAAAAGAGAAGTCGAAGAAGAAACAACGCTATAAACGTAAACTTTTGGCTTTCCGCGCAGATTTCTTGGATTCGACCTGGGCCCCCCTCCCTGGCGCGCGGAGCGCGCCAGGGGCGGCGCCGGAGGCCCATACCCCTCCCATCCCTCCTTCCCTTTGCTGCAAATCGTGGGGGGGAGAGGAGGGGAGGGAAGGGGAGGGAGGAGTGATACTGTCGGACAGAGATAGAAGTACGTCTGGGGCAGGCGGATGAGCTTTCTGCTCGGATCCCCCGAAAGACTCAACATTATTAATTTTGGGCTGTCGTGTACTGCTTTCTTTCACCCGCCATTCGACGCGGGCGATCGCGCTCGTCGGGTTTGCTAGGGCCTCGATGCCGCCAGCCAAAGTCGGTCTGGAATCAAGGCCGCTGGCTCGCGAATGGAAGAGAGGAGGAGCGCGGGGCGAGCCTGGCAGCTGCGGGGGGATGGGGGGGCGGTCGCCGCCGCGCCTCGCGCGAGGGGCACCGGGGAGGCGCACGGGGAGCGAGGGGGTGGACGATGAATGGGGGGAAAGGGGAAGGGGCAGGGCCGAGCAGCGGACTGGGACAGCGAACGTCGTGGAGGTGAGCAGGGATAGGTGAAGGGCGCAGGGGGGCTTCGGGGGGGCAGTGACAGAAGACGAAGGGGGAACGTGAGGGGGAAGGACGTGTTCATTCCCAATGTTGCTTCCAGCGGTCCGGTCCGTTACCCTCAGGGGCTGACATGGTGGTTCCGGGCGGGACGTTTGGAATTGTGTGGCCCCGCAGTGCTTGGGCAGTCATTGTGACGGGTAGCTCTCAATTCATCGGGTCTCACAGTAGCGGTGCACCTGGCCTAAGCTAGATCGGCTCAGAAATTGCGGTCACCACACACATTCTTGGGATTTTGATTGCCGCCCCTGGCCCCGACACTACACCGCCTTTTGCTAAGTGGCGGTTTGGGTGTGCTCGACGGTGGTGAGTAGGCATCGGGAGGAGGCATGGGGGCATTATAGGGAGAGGGGGCAGAAGAGTAAGTAAAGTTGGGCGAGGAGGAGGACGGGGGAACAGGAGGCTGGGAGCAGGAGATGAGGGCAGGGAGGGAGAGTTGGCAAGGGGGGGGGAGGGGGAGGAGGAGATGAAGGGACGAACGGGGCGTAGGAGAAGAGGGGTGGGGGGAGGCGCAGGGTTGGGGGACGAAGGGCAGCGGGGGAGCTGTCCTGGGGCTGCCCGCAAGGGTTTATACCCCGCGGGGTAGCGGCCACCCCGCGCGGTGGCGGTGGGGCGCTGTTCTTCGAGACCTGGCCCTGCGGGGCAGGCCGCGGCCTGGAGGGGAAGAGTAAGAGGGAGGGCTGGGTGGGCCCAGCCGGGCGTTGTTGGCTTCTCTCCGAGGTCGAGCAGTGGCGAAGCGTCCCGGTTCGCTCATAGCCTTATTAAGTAATGCTTTAAGACTTGTTCGTGGTTTGCACGCCAATGTTCTTAGAGCATTTCTGACGGGGACTGTCTTTTTTTAGCCCATCGGGTTTATGTTCTAAAAACAATTTTTTGTTCTTAGAACACTTTTGGGTTCTACGGTACATCGACAGAATGTTGTACCACCTGGTGTTGTCAAGAAAGCAAGCCGATTTTGCGATGGATGTTCGCTTCCACCCCCCCCCTCCCCCCAATCTCAACATTGGCTGCGGTCCCGGATTCATCGAAACGGCTCGGTGGTGCAGCATTCTGTCGCGAGCCCTGGAGGGGCGCCAAGGGACCTTTGCCATATGCCCAATATCAAGATCAGGGGGAGGGGGGGGGGGAGCAGGCAGTGCAATATAGCCGACAATGCGCGGCAAAAGTGCTGCAACATGTTGTCGACGTGCGGTAAGAACCTGTCGTGTGCCGGGGCGGTCGCTCCCTGCTCACAGAGAAGCGGGCCGGGCTTGGTGCGCGCGGGCCAGAGCGGCGCACGCGGGCAGCGCGAGGAGGGGCGCCCGCGGTCCGGGCGGGGGCCGGCCCCCCAGCGGGGGCCGGAGCCCGGAGGGGGGGCCCCGGAGGCCGCCTCTCGGCGCGGAGGGCGATGCATGTAAAGCGACGCGGAGATCGGGGCAAAATCGGGTCGGGATCGCTCGAAATCTCTGAGAATCGGCGGGTTTGGAGGATGTATCGGGCGCCGCGGCCGCTCCTCGAGCGTTCCGGAGCGCTCTGAGAGCGCTCCGGGACGCTCTGGAGCGATTCATGCCGATCCTAGCCCTGCTTTAGCATGTTGTACAGGCGCAGGGGAGGCGGGTGGAGGAGGAAGTCGCCAGGCGATGTTCGCACAGTCGGCGCCGACCTCTACTACAACCTCGACGATACCAGCGGCGGCGCAGGAGGCCGCTAGCACGCGATCGCCGAGAGTATGTATGCCAGCACACATTTGTGTATACAAACATGCATACATACATCCCCAGGCCGAACAGTTGTTCCTCCTGCGTGGGAACGCATGGATCCATTTGGATCGAATTACGCGTGTGCGAGAGTCACATGGATCCAACTTCTGTGTCTTCTGGATCCAATTTTTTACCGTGGAATCTTCGTGGATCCAATTCTTTCGCTGGAATAACTTTATGTGAATAATTAATACAAGGGGCCCAAGGGGAAATGGATCCACGGAGCCTTGGACCTGCAGCCCAAGCTATGATTCTACGGGGCAGGGGTTTCGCTACCGAGAGACACAACACACAGGGACGAGTAGGGAATCACAAACCAGGGGCGGGCGACGAGGAAGACGAGGGAGGAAGGACGCAGAGGAGGGAGAGGACGACGACGAGGAAGAAGAGGAGAAACGCTCGAGCGCCACAGCGGGCCTGGCCACCTCTCCGAACCCCTCCCATAACATGTCGTAGCTCGAGCGCCACAGCTGCCCCGGCCAACTCCCCCAGCCTCCATAAAATGTGGGTGCTCGAGCGCCACAGCGGGCCTAGCCAACTCCCGCAGCCTCCCATAACATGTGCCGCACCCCCACCTCGACGCGAGCGCGATATGATCGCTGCGTCCGCATCCGCTAAAGCCAACGACACTTCGCATTTGTCATGTGGGCCTCAAGAGGAGAATCTCTTGGCCTGCTCATGTGTGTATACGTATGCACATATAGCGCAGCCCCCCATCACCCTCTAATCGTCTTTTTGCGGTGGTGTTATTATCTTCTCTTCATCACCGTTCGTTCCCTCCTCCTCCTCCTCTTCCTCCTCCTCCTCCTCCTCCTCCTCCTCCTCCTCCTCCTCCTCCTCCTCCTCCTAGTCCTCCTGTCATGCGTCCGCCTCCTTCTGATCCTCATCCGCCTGTTACTTATACTATTCTTGTTTCTGCTACTGCGGACCTGCTGCAGCTGCTCCTCCCCCCCATGATTTGTTCTCGTCTCCTCCTCCTCCTTCCCCTCTTCCTGCTATTCCACTTCCTCTCCTTCTCCCGATGAGGCAGAGAGGTTTTAGGGAACAGAGATCCGGGTGAAATTGCCAGGTCTGCCAAGTATAGGGGCACCAAACTCGTACGATTTCAGCTGAACGTGTGGGACTATTGGCATGAACACCCCAGAAGCCAAGTGGTGTCATGTCGATGTGCTGGGCTTGCGGACTATATCCTCCGACGAAAATCCACGCTGCAGCCGTTCAGAGCTTCGAGCCCAAGCAATTTCAATATCCAATACATCTGAATGGCCTCACAGGGCTTCTGATATTGGCATGCCAGAAATCCTAAACATCCACGTGACATCTCAGGGTTTGGTGCCCTCTGTGTTTGCAACCATGTGATCTCATAGTTTCGCTACGCCTTCGAATATATCTCTTCCTCTCTCTCTCTCTCCTCTCTGCCTCGGCGCATCATCGGACAAGGAAGGAAGAGGTCCTGCTCCACATCCTCCCCTCCCCCATCCAGCTCTTTCTTTTCCTCGTCCGATACGGCTGAGGGGCAGAGAGAGAAAAAGAGAGAGAGAGAGCGAGAGGAAGAGAGACAGAGAGAGAGCGAGACAAAGAGAGAGAGCGACTCGAGAGAGCAGGGGTTCCCGTGGAAGTGCCAGGTTTGCACAGGAAGGGGGCGCCAAACCTTGTGATGCCATTGAGATGTTTTGGGCCGTTGGCATGAGAGTCCCAGGAACCGTGTAATGCCATTAGAGTTTGTGGATTCAACATCGTCCGACGAATGTCCACGCTGCCGCCCTCCAGAGACCTGCACCCAGAAGTCAAACACATTCAACCATCAACCGAGTGAAGCCACGTGGTTCCTGAGATCCGCATGCCCAAAATCCCACGCATCCCAATGACATCACAGGGTGTGACGCCTCCTTACTTCGCAAACTAGTCGAGTTCACAGGGATCGCCGCTCTCTCGAGTCTGCCTATCGTTTTCTTTGTCTTTTTGTTCGCTCTCTCTCTCTCTCTCTCTCTTTCTGTCTCTCTGCTCTTCTGCCTCATCGGCAGAGGGGCAGAAAGAGGAAGCGAAAGAGAGAGAGAGAGAAAGAGAGAGAGAGAGAGATTAGGGGGAGCAGGGGTCCGGGCGAAATTGCCAGGTTTGCGAAGCATGGGGGGCGCCAGTCAAAACCATGTCATTCCCCTTGTTGTGCTGAGGGGGCTCTGGTACGAGAATTCCAGTGGCCCTGTGATTCTATTAGGGGGGTGGGGTGTTTGTTTTATATTGCTTTTGTTATTTATTTGGAGAAAAGCTGTTCCTGGGCATCACTCGGACGTGTGCGTTCTCGGCGAGAACCATCGAGGACCATCCTGGATCGTCGAGCAAAAACAGCACGCACGAGACCGAATAATGCACGGGAAATGGACGTCCGAGCGACGGCACGGTGTTTGTTTTGTGTTGTTGTTGTTGCTGCTGCTGTTGTTGTTGCTGTTGTTGTTGCTGTTGTTGTGATTGTTGTTGTTGTCCTGTCTTTGAAGAAACGCTGCTTCGCATTCTCCGAGGAACGTCGGCGCTGCGGCCGTCCAGAGATCGGAACTCAAGGGGGCCGAAACCTTTGTGGGCCCTGGAAACGGCAGGGCCGTTTTTTTTACCGTTTCCAAAAAAATGTCCCTTGAAAATGGAAATGGAAAAAGAAAACGGCGACAAGAAACGGCAAAAAAAACGGTTCCAGGATCGGAACCGGGGCCGGAACTGGTCAAGAAACGGCGACGGAACCGGTAAAACACGGCGTCGGAACCGGCAAGAAAACGGCAGAACGGAACCGGTAACAAGAACGGCCCTGTCGTTTCCAGGGCCCACTAAGGCCGAACACACACCATCCGAACGAAGCGTCGCCAGGCTGGTGTGGCGGCCGCCCCTGCCATAAGTCCTATGTACGCACCCCCGGGGGGGGACTGCCGCGAGGTGGAGCGCCCCGTTGCCTCTCGAGTCGTGTGATTCCACGGGGATCGCTGCTGCCTCGAGTCTCCTTTTGCTCTCTCTCTCTCTCTCGCTCTCTCTCTCCCTCGCTCTCCCTCTCTCGCTCTCGCTCTCTCTCGCTCTCTCTCTCTCTCTTTCTCTGTCTCTTTGCAGTTTCTCTGCTGCTCTGCCCCACGGGAAGAGGAAGAGGAGGGAGGAGGAGGAGGCAGGAGGGAGGAGGAGGAGGAGGAGGAGGAGGAGGAGGAGGAGGAGGAGGAGGAGGAGGAGGAGGGAGGAGGGAGGAGCAGGAGGAGGAGGAGGAGGAGGAGGAAGGAGGAGGAGGAGGAGGAGGAAAGGAGGAGGAGGAGGATGAAGTGAGGGAGCGAACGGAGAGGAAGAGGAGAGAACAAACGCCGTCAAAAGGAAAGAGCACGATCAGTGGGTGCTGGAGGTGGGGTGGGGTGGAGGAGGCTGTCGATATATATATATATATATATATATATATGTGCAGATAGTGTCCCCAGGGACGTGTGGCTTTGTGACCAGCGCAGTCTGCTTACCATGCACCCGCTCTGATACTGTCATGGGCTGTCGGCCAGGCATCGTCCCGTGAACCAGTGTTTCTCAGGGGCGCAGAAAGTTGGTAAACGTACGGGCTTCGGACGTGTCAGATGAGTTTTTCCTGGACCGTCCAAAGAAAATGTATACGTGTATTGACAGCGAAGACGACAAGGTTATTCTCATGAGTGAGTTGCACGGTCCTGTCAACGGCCGTTGGACACTGGAGGAGGACACGTTACGTGATGAAATTGTTGTCGTTGAGTGATGCTATCGAAAACCCCTCTGGCGAGTCACCGCCGGTGGAGGCCACTTTGAACTCTGGGAAGGATCCTTCTGGGGCAGTGTTTCGGGCTGTCTCGGGGCTCTTGTTGTGCCCCTTGGGCCGTCTTTGGGGACTCCTGGGGCCCTCTCGGGGCCATCTGGGGGCTCTCGTGGTCCTTCGTCTGGTGCGATCGGAGGCCGTCTTGGGGGCCCTCTAGGGCCGTCTTGTGGAATTCATGGGCCGGCTTGGAGCCCTTTTGGGGTGCTCTTGGGGCCTTTTGTGGGTTTTCTTTGCCCAGGCTTGGGTCGAGCCGTCTTTAACGCTCCTAAGACCAAGAAGGCGAGAATCCAAACATCATCATAAACAGTGGCGAAACAGTTAATGGGCTTCTGCGTCAAAGCCTTTGAGGCCTTCCTGAGAGTTCTCTTGAAGCCGTCTCGGGCTGCCTTGGAGGCCTCTTGGGACGTCTTGAGGCGATGCTGGGCCATCTTCGGGCCCTCCTGGACCATCTTGGAGGCATCTTGCATGGAGCCATCTGGGAGGCCGTCATTGACCGTCTTGGGTCGACTTGGAGGCTCGGGCTCCCCCGTCCAAGATTGGACGCGGGCTTCCCCGTCCAAGATGGCTACGCCGTCTTGGACGGAGATGCCCACGAGTGCCCGCACTCGTGGTCCCTCCTGAGTGGCCGGCGGGTCGGGCCGAAGGCCGCCCCGGATGTGCTCAGGGGCCACATGCAGGTGGCCAGCACAGCGAGCCCCCCTTCGGCAGGCTATGGGGGACAGCGGGTCTGGTGGCTTTTTCGCCCCGTCCGCCACCGTGCCCTCCTGGAGGCCCCCGTGGGGGTCTCTTGGAGGCCCCTCTTGGTGTCTCCGCGGGGGCCCCCGCGAGGGCCCTGGGCGGCCTCTTTGCGGAGCCTCCTTCGGGCCGGACGAAAGGGGGAGATTGGGAAAGGGGGGGTCACGAACTTTGCTGCGTGCAGCTGATTTCGGCCTCGCCGAGGGGCCCATTCCTCGATACATAGCCGCCTCCGGCGCCGGGAGGCGCCGGGAAAATCAGCTACGCGAGCCGATTCTCACCCCCCCCCTCTGCCATCCCCCTGTCGCCCGACCCGACTCCTGGAGGCCTGCTGGGGGTCTTCGGGGGCTTGTCGGGAGCACCCGCGGGGCCCGACGGGGGTCCTCCGAGGCGCACCCCTGGGAGGAGGGCTCCTGGGGGCCTCCTGTGAGCTCCCCCCCGGGAGCCGCTCTTGGGGGCCTCTTTTGGGCGTCCCGTGGGGGGCTATCATGGCCCCCCACGAGCCTATGGGCCGTCTTGGGGCCCATAGGCCATGGGCCGTCCTGGGGCGATTCTGGGGGCCTCTTGCGCCGTCGTGGGGGAACTCGGGCACGAGCCGGCAGCACCTGCCAGATACTTCGTGCAAGAGCCGTGCCCGAGGACCGACGGCGATCAAGACTTCTTGGGCCGAGCCACCCGAAACTCCAAAGCGGCTCAAGACCACCCGGGGACAGCACAAGCCACCCTTCATCCCCAGCCAGTACCCCCACCCCCGACCTGATGATCCAGGGTGTCCTGGCCGGGGGTGGGGGTGTTTTGTGGTGGGTCCTGCTCCTCCTCCTCCTCCTCCTCCTCCTCCTCCTCCTCCTCCGCCTCCTCCTCCTCCTCCTCCTCCTCCGCCTCCGCCTCCGCCTCCTCCTCCTCCTCCTCCTCCTCCTCCTCCTCCTCCTCCACCCTCCTCCTCCTCCTCCTCCACAAGAAACAAGGTGGGTCCTGCATCCCCCCTCGAAGTCGAACGCAAGTTTCTCCCGCGACGCGGCGGCGCCCCGGGCCCCCGAAACTTCATCGTCCGCGCCGAAATCGGCGACCGCAAACGCAAAAATCTGACCCCGTGGGGGCCGCGATGCGCGCGGCATGGACGAGCTTGAAAAGCTTGCGCGTTGGATTTCGAGGAGGGCTTGTGGTGCCCCAAAAAAAGACACCCTCACCCCCCAGCCAGGGCCCCCCGGATCACCAGGTCGGGGCTCCCGCTGCCTCCGCGAGCCCGACCTGATTTCGAAGTTGGGAGCACGGGCGAACACGGGGGCGGAACACGGGGTCGAGCACTCAGGGGCTCAACCTGCTTGTCCCCTTACCGGAGGAGGGGGGGCGAGGGAGGGGGAGGGAAGATGGAGGGGGCGGAGGAGGAGGAGGAGGAGGAGGAGGAGGAGGAGGAGGAGAGAGGAGGAGGAGGAGGAGGAGGAGGCGGAGGAGGAGGAGGAGGAGGAGGGGGGTTTGCTGACCGGGGATGGGGGTTGGGCTTTGGGGCCCTCAGACTCCTGAGGGCCTGCACGGTGACCCCCCCCCCCTGGGAGCCGCCTGGCCTTGCCTCTCGTCGGCTTGGCCTGGCCCGCCAAGTTCCGCTCCGGGGGCATCAGGGAACGTCGCCCGGGCTCCTCCTCGCGGCCAGTGGCGGCTTCTGCACGCGTCTTGGACAGACGTCGAGGAAGAAACAAAACTCCATAAAACAGAAACGTGTGGCGCTCCGCGCGGGTTTCTTGGATCTGCGGTGGGCCTCCCCGGCGGCGCCTCCGGCGCCGCCCCTGGCGCGCACCAGGCGCCAGGGAGGGTGGTCCCACGCAGATCCGCGAAATCCGCGCGGAGCGCTCAACGTTTATGTATATGGTGTGTTTTCTGCTTCCAAGAGGGCGCTGCCTGGGGGAGGGGGGGTATGGGTGAACTACGTGGCCTGGGCCGTGGCCCGGATGGGGGGGATCTTGCGTCCGTCGATTGAGGGTGCCGCGGCATGCAAAGCACGAATTACTCCCGAGGTAGGCTTTGCCTAGGAGGCCCTCGAATAACAAGGCCTGAGGATGGGGGCCCAAAGCTCCAGTTACCCTGGGGATTAGGTGCCCACGAGTGCACTTGCGGAGCCAGATGCCAGGGACTCTAAGGGACCTGTGGCCCGGTGAGCACTTGCCTCAGGGGCACCTGGGGGTCGCCCGCAGCGCCTGGGTGCCCCGCGTCCGAGACACCGTGCTGTGCCATGTGATGCGATGCAGCTGCGTGGCGTGCTATGCTACGACGCGACATGCCATGACAGCATAATATGCAATGGCACACCCTGCTGCCATGACATGCGTACATAAGCCACAGCATGTCGCGCCTTCATTGGCGTTAGTACACCATGCTGCCATACAGCAGCTCGGTACACGCTACCATGCCGCGCTATCAGATTTCCATGCTACGCAGCGCAGGTCTACCATGCGCTGCTACGCGTTCGTGCTATACGTCCGCATCGCGATACCGCGCACACATTGCATTATCCTATACGACTGATTTGCTTGGTGCGTGCATGGCTATAGCAAAACAGACTGCCCCTCATCCTGGTCGCGCAGCTGCCGTTGATCAGAGTGTTTCTGATCCTGCTCGATAGGCCGAAGGCTCCACTCGAGGCCAGGGTCCGAAGGAGTGCCTCTGCTCAGTGTCTTGGTCAGGGCGCGTGGAGGAGGCCGGGGCAGACAGCGCAGGCGCAGGTCGGCGGCGCCGCCCACGGGAAGCCGCCGACACTGCCGCACTGCTCGGCCGTAGTTCTGCGGCGGTGGACGTGGAGATACGGGCGCGCTCCAGTGCAGCAGCGCCCTCGCCGGGCCGTGCGCCCCGAGCCTTTATATTCGGAAGCCGCGGCCGCGCCGCGGCACGGGCAGAGCGGCGGCCGAACTGCACGCAGGACTGCAAGTCGTCTCGTGGCGAGCCTCACTGCGTTCTTCTCTGGCACGATCCGACTCCTCTCTGGCACGATGGACCTGAAGCTTCAAACATTGGCAGCAGTTTCACGTATATGGAGGGCGGGTCGTTTTCACAATGCGGCCCTCGCCTTGGCGCCGCGAGCATTCGTTTCAAGAGCCTGCAAGAGCTTCACGGATTGAGGATCACCCGTTTTCAAAATGTGGCTACCGCTTTAGCGCCGCGCACATTCTTTTGAAAGATTTGTAAGAGCTTCATGGATGGAGGATCACCCGTTTTCAAAATATGGTTCTCGCTTTAGTGCCGCGCACATTCTTTTCAGAAATGTCGAGAGTTTCGCGGATTGAGGGCGGTTCCTTTTCAAAATGTGGTTCTCGCCTTAGCGCCGCATGTTCTACACATTGGAAGGAGCTTCACGGATTCCCACGATCAACTTACCAGAAATTGTGTGTTGGAAGGATGTAGGATTTTGCGGGTGCAACTGTTACGTTGGTTCGCGGTGTTGGAATCCCAAGAATGGCGTTCTGGCGCGATCCAGGATCGCCAAGGCGCCATAGTCAGGTTGATCCGTGGCTTTGGAATCCCGAGAGCAATGTTTTGGCATGCTTCCGGGTCTTCAAACGGTTGTCTTCCAACGAAGCAGATCCCAACATGGACATGAACCGTTGTAGGAGCATATGAGGAGGGAGCTTGGAGGGAGGTTGTATTCCAACATCGTTGATGGCCCTTGGGTTTACACTGGTTCTCCTCCTCCTCCTCCTCCTCCTCCTCCTCCGGCTCCTCCTACCTGATCCACTTCCCTCCTCTCAGCACACCCCCCACGCGTTTCGCGCTCCCCAGAGAGCTCCGCTCATGGCCTCAGAAAGCGTACTCGCATGGCGTCCCCCCGCCCATGTCGGCGCACCCCTCAAT